GGACCGGGCGGTTGAGGTGGGCGAGATAAGGGAGAGAGAGAAAGTATCCCCTTATATTTAACCAATTAAGTCACTAACTAACAGAATTATTGAATAAAGTGTATTGAGGAGGTGGCGGCGGCGGCGAGGGAGCTGCCGGCTCTCCAGAAAGAGTGTGTCAACGGGAAGAAAAGGCGATCAAAAGTTCCCGCCAGAGCCCCTGAGCGAGTGTTAATGTGAGGGGTCTTTTGCGCTGAAATGGCACGGCAGCGTCTAGAAAACGTCTCGCCCACCTTCCCAGGATGGCGGTTTCTAGCTTCTTAGCAGGGGAAGAGGCCGGGCGGTGGAGAGGGTGCTTGGGGAAAAATGCTAAGGAAGCCTTCGATTTTGGGACTGCTTGACATCCAAGGAAGTCAAGGCCACCCAAAGCCGAGAACCCCCTCTACCAATTTGTCCAAGATAGAATATTCATTTCTAAAAGTTCAGCCATGTTGAAAACCGCAAGTCTCTTTTATACGCCTTCAAGCCAGAACCTAGCGACCTTAATAGGACTTTCAAGAGAAGTGAGATAGTTAAGAATTTCAAGGCGCTGGTGTTTTTTTCTCCTCAACCCAGCAGCGGCCAGGTTCATGGTTCATTTTTTTTTTATTTATTTATTTATTTATTTATTTATTTATTTTTTTGTTTGTTTGTTTGTTTGTTTGTTTGTTTATTTGTTTATTTATTTAATATCCCGCCTATCTGGTCGGTTAAGACCACTCTAGGCGGCTTCCCACAAACGCCCCTGGGAGTTTCCGTGGCAGAACCCAGTTCGACTGTGTCTTATTCTGTCACTCCATCCACTACACAGGGAATTCCTAAAATAAATTTAGATTCTTGAATTAAATTATCTGCTCTTCATGGAGTAAGCCCAACAGAATTCAAAGAGATTTACTCTTGAGAAGACATGTAGGACTGCACTGTTAGATCACTGTGCAAACTAATGAGTTTAGCAGTCATACTAAAATAAAAAAAAAGACACCAAAGGCCCAAAGTACTTGCTGAACATTGTCAAATATCTGTTACATTTATGTCCCACCTTTACATCCTTCATCTCTTCTGCACTTCATCTTCACAATAGTCCTGTGTGAGTTTAGTCAGTTGGAGATATGTAATAATAATCACATGCTGTCAAGTCAATTCTGATTTATGGTGAGCTTTTTCAGGGTTTTCCAGGTGAGAATACTCAGAAGTTGTCTACCATTCCCTTCTTCCCCGGAGGCACCCTAGGATTGTGTAGCTTGCCCAAGGCTACACAGGCTGGCTCTGCTTGTAGGAGGCATAGTGCAGAATCAAACTTCCAACCTTTGGCTCCACAACCAAATACCTAAACCACTGAGCTATTAGCTAGTTCAGTCCACAACTAGATACCTAAACCACTGAGCTAAAGTATTAGCTAGTTCAGTTTGTAATAAAAGACTGGTATTGCTCAGTGTTACCCCAGTGAAAGCAAGACCAACAAAACAAAAACAAAGCCAGAAGCACTGTGACCCAAAAGTAACTAAATTTATTAAGCTGCAATGTATGAAGCCTCTTTGAAGAAGTAGATTGTAATCCGTGAAAGTTTACTTAGATACATTTGTTACTCTTAGAGGTGTCACAGAACTTTTGTTGTTGCTGTTGTTGAAACAGACTAGTGTGTCTAAGAGTTGCTCCACTGAATGTAATGACACAGTGATTAGAACACAGCTCTCTGAGTTCCTGTCAACAACTGCACTACAAACGATTAAAGACTGTTAAGACAACACACACACACCCTAAAGACGAACACATTTATTGCAGCAAAAATCATGACTGCAGAAGAACTGCTAAACATTAATTTTGACAATGAGAAAATTGAACAGTTAAAATAGTTTTGTATACCTTGATTCAATCATCAATCCAAATGGAGACCGCAGCCAAGAAATCAGATAAAGACTGAGAATCAGAAAAGCAGCAATGAAGGAATCAGAAAAGACAATGAAATGTAAGGATGTGTCGTTGGAGGCCAAGACCAAGATAATCCACACTCTTGTATTTTCAGTCAAGAAAGATGACAGGGGGAAAATGATTTGTTTGAAATGTGGTGCTGGAGGAAAGCTTTGTAGATACCCTGGACTGCCAGAAAGACAAACAAGTGGGTCTAGAATCAAATCCAGCCTGAGCTATCTCTGAAGGCAAAAATGCTGAAGCTGAGACTATCCTACTTCGGGCACATCATGAGAAGACAAGATTCTCTCGAAAAGACAATAATGCCAGGCAAGGTTAAAGGCAGCAAGAAAAGAGGGAGACCAAAGATGAGACAGATTGACTCCCTAAAGAACGCCACAGACTTGAGTTTGCAAGACTTGGGCATGATTGTTGAGGACAGGACATTTTAGAGATTGCTTATTCATAGAGTCACTATCCGTTGGAGATGGTTTAACAGCACATAACAGTAACAACAGATGTAAAGACAATTCAATGGGACTTATTACTAAGTACTGTAAGTATATATCCATTTCCAAATGTAGTGTCCTGTCATTTTGAAAGTGATACTGAAATCTAAGGTCTGGTTCACATGCGCAGCTTCACAGATCGATATAGGTTTGCTTGTTTGTCACTCCTCACACATCTTGCCCACCCAGACACTGAACAACTGAATAGCGCCTGAGTCTAAGTTGACCTCCTGACCACAACAGCTGGTCCAAGTTTTGAATATTTCTCTGACCCTCCACTTTTTATACCACTTTGCCAGATGAAGATCTCTGGAGAAACGGAAAGCTTGCACTCTTCCACGGTATTCTAAAACTCATAGACAGTGCATATTCTCCCTCCAAGAGACAAGTACAGAAAAAAAAATTTAGAAGACTGTGGGTATTATTTGAAAACAAAATCATCCTAAAGTGTTTGACTTGACACTTGTGTTTAATCTGTATTTCATGTGATGACAGATGTTGAATTTCTTTGAACTGGGAAAGGGAATTCTAAAAAGAGAACTGTCAATAAAAGTGCAAAGTCTAAACTGTGGAAAGCATTATAAATATGGTCTGTTCTAAATGCTATCTGCACATGTACTTAAAAGAAAATTATTTCAAAGCTTGGAAATACTGTTTCAATTTGCTTAATTTAGAGAACCAATACATATTAATGGAGGGTAATTTTAGACTCACCAATGCCATTTCATAACACTAATTAATAAAGGCAGGTATAGTTTTCTGCTTAATTACTGAATGGCCTATAAACGGGGAAAATGAATAGTTCCTGATTTCATTTGCTTTAAGTTGTTCCCAGAAGTGATTATGTGGTGTCTGTTTCAGCCTATTAAATGGCAAATGTTTTCACAGACGCTGTGTTGAATGTAGAGTAAAACACAATTCCCTAATCTTCTAAATCCAGGTAAACAAGCAACAGGGTGATAGTTTCAATAACAGCAAGTGGCAATGTCATGATGGAACCATTATCCCCTGAGTATCATAAGTTTTTAAACAGTGCCGATTAATATTACAAGGCAAAATTTGTTTTTCTTTATTTCTTCTCCTACCAGACTGTGGTCTGGAAAGACTCTGGATAACCTTGTTGATTTGGGAAAACCCTGGAGGCATTCTTAAAACCAGTTTGTTTTACATTCTTTTTAACTTTACTCTGAGTACCAAAGTAAAACTTAAGAAGCTGTGAAAGTGTAGACTTAATGGTTTCACCCCATTGTGTCAGTAACACCACATCAGAAGTGTAAACTATTGGCAGAGATGGGGAAATCCAAAATATTACAAACATCTGTAAGAACAGATAGCCAGTCCTGAATTCAAGCTGCAGAGACAGAACAGGTGTGCATTGGGGCGGGGGAGGTTTGATGTTATTTGCGTGCTAGAATAATTAAATACATTGCTGATAAATTGTCCTGAGTAAAGTACAATCAGATTTTTGAAACACTTGGGATGATTAGTGAAATTGTCATCAACTTCTGGGACAGGGTTTAAATGATGGGCTAAATTTAATGATAGCCCCAACAAAAGTAGAGCCATTGAAATCAACAAAAATTATAGGATCTGTTCTTTCAATAGGTCTATTCTAATTTGGATTAAATTTAGATTTAGCCCAATAAATACATGGGTACCATTAAACTGCCATGTTAATATGGCAGCAATACTGTTTTTCTACACAAATGGTGATGTAATACACATTAGAAATAATGTCTTTCTCACAACCTAATTTTGCTACTTTTAAAATGTTAATACACATTCCAATACACTTGGGCTCCATGATCACTGCAAAAGGTGACAGCAGCCATGAAATTAAAAGGCGTCTGCTTCTTGGAAGAAAAGCAACGAGAAACCTAAAAGGTGACAGCAGCAGCAGAAACATCACCTTGCTGACAAAGGTCCTCCTAGTCAAAGCTTTTTCCTGTAGTGATGTATGGAAGTGAGAGCTAGACCATAAAGAAGGCTGGCCGTCGAAGAATTGATGCTTTTGAATTGTGGTGCTGGAGGAGACTGGACTGCAAGGAGAACAAACCTATCTATTCTAAAGGAAATCAACCCTGAGTGCTCACTGGAAGGACAGATCCTGAAGCTGAGGCTCCAATACTTTGGCCATTTCATGAGAAGAGAAGACTGCCTGGAAAAGACCCTGGTGTTAGGAAAGCAAAGTGAGGGCAAGAGGAAAGGGGATGGCCAGAGGACGAGATGGATGGACAGTGGCACCGAATCTACCAGCATGAATTTGACCAAACTCCGGGAGGCAGTGGAAGACAGGAGGGCCCGGTGTGCTCTGGTCCATGGGGTCACAAAGAGTCGGACCCAACTTAACGTC